CCCCAGACCCCCCCCCCCCGAACTTATAATGCTAACTACTCTTGCCTTTACCTCTCTTTCATGTCTCCTCCCAGGTACCAGTCAAGGATTTTTTTTTTCTCCCTACAGTTGTTATGCAATTTGGGAGTCTTTTAGATAGACCCACTGAAGGGGTACCCCAATTGCCCCACCATGCGCCTCTGTAAGTCTTCCTGCTTTTCTGAATTCTTCAGGATAGTGTAATCTCTCCTTTTCTTCTTCATATCCCCTTTATAAACATGCTTTCTTTAAGGCTTTGGGCCACTCCTAGCATCTTGTATTTCTTTACATTTTCTCTAAAGCTTCCTTCCCCCAGACATTTGGCTGTCAGTCAGCCATGTGTCTGTGTCTGACCTTCATGCAGGCTCTAAACCTGTATGGCTTCATGGCTTTCTTTCTTTCTCCCCTCCATTCTCCTGAAGGCAAATGCCAAGATCACCAGCTTAAAAAAAAAAAAAAAATAGGTGAGTGCCTTTGGTGGCACATGCTGGTGCTGGAGAAATGGAGGCAGGGAGGATCATGAATTCAAGGCCAACCTGGGCTACACTTTTTCCTTTGAGACTGGAGAGATGGCTCAGTGGTTAAGAACACTGGCATCTCTTCAGAGGACCTGGATTCAGTTCCCAGCACCCATATGGTGGCTAACAGTGGTTCAAAAATCCAGTTCCAAGGGATCCAACACCCTCTTCTGGCTTCTGAGGGCACCAGGAAGGCACATGGTACAGGCAAAACACTCAGACACAGAAAGTAAAAATAAATAAGAGCTGCCGGGTGTGGTAGTGCATGCCTTTAATTCCAGCATTTGGGGCAGATGCAGGTCTGTGAGACTGGGGCAAGCCTGGTCTATATAGTGAGTTCCAGGGCAGCTGGGGCCACAGGGAGAACCTCTCTCAAAAAAGACCAAAACTAACTAACTAAATAAAATAAATAAACAAATAGAGCCAGGAGTGGCAGTGCATACCTTTAATCCCAACACTTGGGAGGCAGAGGTAGGTGTATCTCTAAGATCAAAATCAGCGTGGTCTACATGGTGAGTTCCCAGCCAGCTAAGGTTACCAGGAGATCCTGTCTCAAAAAAAAAAAAAAAAAAAAAAAACCAAACCAAACACCCTAACAAAAGTGAGCAGGGCTGAGGTTAGAGTGCTTGCTTCCCAAGCATGAAGACCAGAGTTTGGATCTGCAGAAACCCACATGAATGCCAAGTGGATGTGGCAGCCCGCCTGCAATTCCAACTCTGAAGGTGGAGACAGATCCCCAGAGCAAGCTGCTAGCAAGACTAGCTGTATCAATCAGCTCTGGGTTTGATTGAGAGACCGTGCCTCAGTGAATAACACAAAGTATAATCAAGGATGATTCCTGACATCAACCTCAGGCCTCCACATGTACAGTACATGCACACATATGCACATGCATATACACACATACACGCACACCACATACGGAAAATGGGGGGAAAAGAGCAACCTCTAGTGTTGACTGCGTTGGAGAGGTAGCTTCTTAAACAGAAATACCGAATCTGTAACATTTGTCTTTTTGTTACTTAGGAAAGTATTGTTACCCCTCATCCATTCAGCTGTCTTCATGCTCAGTGGTGTTAACAGTCAGATGAGATGTTCAGATGCACTCACTGATGCACTACAGGACCACCAGTTCTCCTGTCCTAGAGTGAGCATTCTCCACCCAGTCCTGTTAGTCTCCCTGTCACACTGGGAGCACACATTACCCAGTCTGTCCATAAAGCACACTACGCACAATTCCAGTTCATGCCCTGAAGCAATGTCAGGGGCAAGGGGACACACTCCAGCAATCTGCTTTCCAAACTAACTTTCCCCTTGTCCCCTGTTTTAGTTTGTTTCTCCATTGCTATAACACTCTGACTAATACCAACTTGAGGGAGGAAAGGGTTTATTTGGCTTAAATTTCCTGGGTCACAGTTCATCAGGGAGCCCAAGGTAGGAACTCAGGGCAGGAACCTGGATGCAGGAGCTGAAGCACAGGCCATGGAGGAACGCTGCTTATTGGCTTATTCCCCTGGCCTCAGCTCAGCCTGCTTTCTTTTACAACATAGGCCCACCTGCCCAGGGGTGGCACCAGCCACAGTGAGCTGGGCCCTCCCACATCACTCAATAATCAAGAAGATGCCCCACAGACATGGCCACAAGCCAGACCAATGGAGGCAGTTCCCCCAGTTGAGGCTCCCTCAACATACATGTCAAGTTGACACTAAAGCCACCCAGCATACAGCATATCCCCTATATCTCAGCTTAGGAACACAGCTCCCTCTTCCCTTCCCTCACCTCCTAGCTAATTCCAATCAATCTGCCAATACTAAACCTCACATGCCAGTTCTTCCAAGACACCTTTAAAGATTAGTGTTTTTTGTGTGTATGGTATATGTGTGTCCACAGGTGCATGGCACGTGTCCGTCTTTACTTTCCCTCTAGGGGATTCTGTTTCTGCCTTCCATTTTGCCTTTGAAATGCTGGGATTAGACAGGGCTGGCTCTTACATGGGTTTGAGGGATCCGAACTCAGATCATGAGGCATGGCGGCACTTTTACCTGCAAAGCCACCTCCACAAACCCCAAGGAACTGTTTTTAAATTTCCTCCCACCTTGTTGCTCCACTCTACTCCTACTTCTTGTTCGTGTAACATATATTTAGAGAGGAGCTGCTAGATATTAGATGCTTAGTTATTCCAGGCGTCAGGAACACAGCAGCTAAAAAAAAAATCCCACTAAAACACAAGGCACCAGACCACATCATTCTTACTACCTTGACCAGAAACTGCCTGTGGCTTGTGAGAAGCATGGGCCACATTTTTTTTACAGATCTGAGACTGGCATGGCAGCAGATGCCAGATGTGCATGAACCCAGCTGCACAGCCCATCCCAAGAATACTGGACCCAGACCTTCCTAACTCTTAACAACTCCACCTTATCCAGTTGCTCAAGGACCTCTGCTCAGTAGTTTCCTGTGTCCCCTGGTCTGTTTACGTAGCTGGAGGAAGTTGCAAAGATCTATACTTAGGGCCTTTGTGTATCTCATCACTTGGTTCCTGGTGCATGGAAAGGGCACTTTGAAGCAGGTTGTTAATGGGATTTGACTCATTTCACCTGCCTGTGTAGTCGAATCTTCAACTGTGAGATGGAAGAAAATAGGAAGGGGCTGGCATGGTGGCACATGGCTGTGATCCCAGCATGTCGAACAAAGAGGCAAGATCTCCAGCCTGGTCTACATAGTAAGTTCCAAGCCACCCAGGGATAAGTTGCAAGACCCTGTCCCCGAAAGCCAAAAAATGTAGGAATGGGAGAACACAGAAAATGCCTCATGAAAACACCAGGAAATTTTCTTTTCCTAACATTACACTCAGTTGGCAATAGGATTGCTTCCTTTCAAAACCAGCATTTTCCACATTATTGCCTACAAGTTATCGTTACATCTATTCTGTGTGTGTTTGTGTGTATTGCCTGCATGCAGGTAAGTGCACCTGTCGTGCAATGCCCGTGGAAGACAGAAGAGACTGTTAGATCACCTGGAACTGGAGTTATGGACAGTTGTTAGCTGCCATGTGGGTGCTGGGATTCAAACCTGGGTCTTCTGCAAGAACAGCCAGTGTTCTTAACCACTGAGCCATCTCTCCAGCCCCTATTCTGTGTGTTTTTAAACAAGGCCTTATGTAGCTGAGCCTGGCCTTGAGTCCCTGAGCTGCCTGCCTTCACATCCCAATGAGTGAGATCACAGGTGTGCCATGTTCATCTATACCCCTCCCATATTTTTTGGTTTTGGGGTGTTTTAAGACAGGGTCTCCCTATAGCTTCAGTTGGCCTGGAACTTGCTATGTAGACCAGGCTGGCCTAGATCTGCCTGTCTGCCTCTTGAGTGCTGGGATTGGCCTGGCCCCTCAAGGTTTAGCTATGTAGTTCAGACTGGCCTTGAATTCACTGCATCCTCCTGCCTCAGTCTCCCAAGCAATGGGATACTATCATGCCTGCTCTCTTACTGACCCTTTCAGCAGCACTGTGGTAAAGAGATGTCATCCCCATTTTACAGCTGAGGAAACTGGGCTCTGAAAGGGGATGTTAACTTCCGAAGACCTCCACAGTTTAAAAATGACCCCAGATCACAATTTTTGCCTAAATGATTCCACATTACTTCATTTTGACTAAGACACACTCCAGCAGGTGGTCTCTTCTCCAGGATAGTGCCCCTTTTCCTACTGCCTCCAGTGTTAACCAAAGACAGCATCTTGGACTAAACAGTGCTGATCAGCCCTGGGGCTTGAACCTGAGAACTTGCTACACTGTGGCAAGTTCAGGTATCAACTGTACACAGCAAGCCTTCATTCTTTCATGCTGGCCTCCAAGAAGAACCAGTCCTCCTAGCTGAATATACATAGTTCAGGTAGAACTGTAGACAGGGCTGTCATCACAGCCATTTAAGGGAAACACAGAGAACAGCAGCAATAACAAAGCAGAACCCGAGCATACAAAAACCCCTTTATTTACAGTCCAAAGTTGAAACAAGTTCTGAGTCTGTGACACTTCCAAGGTCTCTTGATCAAGCAGGGCCATCACAGGATACAAACACAGGAGCCAGTCCAACTTATACGCCTCGAGAACGGGTGTCACTCAAAACGAGAAGACCTAAAATGGCAGTTGGGTCAGTGAGGAGACAGAGACAAATAGCTCAAAGGAACAGGAAGGGGACAGGCCATGAGACATACTAGCAATTCCTAATCATCTTTTCCTCAAAGAGTAGACCTTTGGATCCCAGGGCCACGTGAAAATATTACACAAGAACCAAGAAGAAAAATAACTGATGTGTGGCACGGCATACCATCTGATTTATCATTCACCTATCCAAACTGTGTCCTATATACTAATTTTATTTATTTATTGATTGATTGATTGATTGATTGGTCCTTTGAGACAGGGTCTCCCTGTAGTTCCAGCTGTCTTAGAACTCACTATGTAGACCAGGCTGGCCTTGAACTCACAGAGATCTGCCTGCCTCTGCCTCCCAAGTGCTGGGATTAAAGGCATGCACCAGCATGCCCAGGGAAACACCTACTTCTTAAATCTGAAGTATCCCCTGAAGTTGTAGGAGAATATCAAGTTGGAATCAGTGAGATGATTTTAATTTTTAAAGTTACATTTATTGTACGTGTACGTGTGGGCACATGTGCCATGACACATGAGGACAAACTATGAGAGCTGGTTCTCTCCTTCCACGACATGAGTCCTGGGGATCGAGTTCAGACCATCAGGCTTGGCAGCAAGTGCCATTACCTGCTGAGCCACTTTGTCGGCCTTTATGCACTATCTCTATGCAGAGGAGCAAACTAGAGTTCAGGATGTTTAATGGGCTTGACTAAACCCAGAGTTAAGAGTGTTGGGGCTCTTTTGGTCTGCTTGGCTCAAAGCCCATGCCTGTCTCCTTAGGTTTGCTGGCTTGCTGGGAAGCTCGAAGACAAAGACAATCCTTTCTTGTAGGTTTTGTTCCAGAAATACCAAGAAAGCAAAATTGATACTCTGTGTCAGGTTAGATGCACTAAAAGAGGAAGGTAAGTGCCATCATATACTGTCTCCCTCTTCTGACCACTCCCCTCATGTAGCCATAACCCTCCTGCAGGGACAGGAGTTCTAGGGTCACAGTGTAGGTTCAGAAAGAAGTTTACTCTCAACCCTTAACCAAAGTGTACACTTTGTAAACTGCACGGTGTGTTAGCACCTAAGGTCTATGACATCAGGCACTGTGTTGGTCAGTATGACCCCTTGCTTCAAGGAGTTCTCAGTCCGGACAAAAACAGGCCAATATATTTGTGATACATTGTACTAAATGCTGTGGTGGAAGGGGGAAAACATATTGCAGTTGCACCCAGCGGGGAGCCACTGACTAGGCCTGGACCTGAGAAGAAGAGCTGGAGGGACTTGAGCAGGATTTATAAACTGATGTTAGCCACAGCTATAGACATGCCCCTGGGAGGGACTGGAAGGAACAGGGATGAGTTAAACTTACATATATACATATACACAGTATGTACTTCTATGAGAAGATGCATGTTCAGCATAGGAAGTTCGAGCATACACAGGACAATATAGACTGAAAACAAAGTCTTTTCTGGCTGTACTTGGCAGAAGCATCTATCAGCAGTCTGCTACTTATTATCAGACAAAGTTCTGAACTACTCAGTATAAACAGTGTCATGTTCATATACAGTGTGCTAGATCTGTCACTGCATTTAAACATTTGGCCAACACGTACAGACCCACCTCCTTTCTTTCTAACAAGGCTGAACAGTACCGCACGGAGCGCCACACTAGGAGTATAAAGAACAGTCACCACTACGAGCTTCACCTTCAGACTGGAATGGAGCCCTGTGCCACTCCAGCTGGCAGAGCTTCTTTCAGAGCAGGGAACAGTGTCACACTCAACAGGCATGTAAACATGAGGGGGCAGACCTCACAGGTATTCAGGGTGCTCCCTGGGTCCCTAGTTTCACATGGAACCTCTTTTTCTCCTGCCAGGACTACTGTAATGACTCCTGGAGCCTCCAGCCCAACTCCACATCACCACCATAAGCATTTTCTAAAGCAGAAAATTCAACTCTAACATTCTCCTGCTTGAAATCTCCCAGGCCCTCCTGGGCTGGTTCTTTTTGAAGAACCTGGACCTCCTTTAAGAATTTCAGGAGCATGAGGGACTCTTCCCCAAAGGGGAAAACTACTTTGTTGCCTGCAGTCCCTCCCCTGCTCTTGGAGCTGCGTACGCACTGCTTAGCCTGGTGCTGGCTCTCTAAACTAGCCCTGACCTCCCTTCAGCCTCATCTCTGCTTTCCATTATCTTCCCACACAACTACTGTAGCTTCCCCCACACTCCTGCTGACTCCTGCTTTTTTATGCCTTTCCATTTGCTGTTCCCTCTGCCTGGAATGTCCCCGAGTCTCAGCCCCCTGACAAGTTCTATTCTTTCTTATTAATTATATACGGGTATGTATGTATGTACGTATTTAAGAGACAGGGTCTTACATGTACCCTCTGGCTTGCCTGGAAATTACTACATAGACTAGGTTGGCCTTGAACTAACAGAGATCCTCCTGCATCTGCCTCCTGAGTATGGGCATTAAGGGCATGCAACACATCTGGCTTCGTTTATTAATTTTTTTTTAAACTTAAAAAAAATATTTATTATTATTATTATTAAATTATTTATTTAATAACCACATACTTAGAAGAAGCATTTTATTACAACAGCATTGACATATTCAATAACATTTTCCTGAGCTAAGATGCATCTCTTTCAAAATTGGCTAAACTTTTTTAAAATTTATTTTTATTATTTTATGTGTACAAGTATATTGCCTGCATGCATGGAAGTGCACCTGTGTTATGCAATGCCTACAGGGGAGGTCAGAAGAAGACATCAGATTCCCTGGAACTAGAGTTATGGACGGTTGTTAGCTGTCATGTGGGTGCTGGGATTTGGACCTGGGTCCTCTGCAAGAGCAGCCAGTGCTCTTAACCAGTGGGCCATCTCTCTAGCCCCCACATCTGGCTTCTTATATACAGGCGCAGCTCCAGCTATTGCCCTAAACCACTCCAGGCAGACCCAGACCTTCATGCTTCCCTTACCTGGTTCTAAATCCTCTAGTCTACTGCTTGAATACACTGGACTCACTAGTTTTCAAGAGGCTGAGTTCCTATTTTTTTTAGACTTTTTGAGACAGGGTCTCCCTGTAGCCCCAGCTGTCCTGGAACACTCTATGTAGACCAGGCTGGCCTTGAACTCACAGAGATCTGCCTTCCTCTGCCTCCTGAGTGCTGGGATTAAAGGTGTGCACCACCACGCCCAGTCAGGATTGAATTCCTTAAAGAACTGGACTTCTCAAATTTGTAGCCTCATCTGTAGCATGGGACATGAAGTGATTAAAAGGACTTCCTTGAAGAGTGCAGGGAGGACCAGCCTAACTGCCACCAGTACATCTCTCTTACTGGGACCTATCATGCCTACAGATATTTCCAGAATGATGGATACTGTCTCAGACCTCAGTCATTCAAATAACGTCTGCCCAACTATTAAAATCTACCATCTACAGGCATAATTAACTTTTTAACATAATCACTGTCTGAATTTTGTGTTTGTTTTTGAGACAGGATCTCACTATGTAGCCCTGGCTGGCCTGGAATGCTCTATGAGCTGCTCTCAAGAGATCTGCCAGCCTCTGCCTCCCTAGTGATGGAATTAAAGGGGTGTGCCACCTCTCCCTCTTGGGGCCTCACTATTTGAACTTTAATATTATCTTATTGTAAGGTATAATTGTAAAATTATGTATGGTGATTACACACATAATTTTTCCTAAGATGCAAATACTAAGTCATCCTGTTGTTTTCTATACTTCTTTGATAAACAAGCAGGGTGAGGGAGACCTGGGAATTAGGTTTAAAAAGTTCCTTAAACAAGTCTCATCCAAAGGGGAGTTTGAGCAAAAGGGAATATGTGAAGAAAGCTCTGTCAAGAACTCTTTTCTGGCCTCTTCCTCTCATACTGCGAGGGTTTTGGCACAAGGCCGCAGCTATGTGACAGGGTAATACCTTCAATGCTGGGGATTCTTGCTGGAGCACCATGAGGTCATCTCCTCCTGGGGCTGGGGACTGGGCTTCTCAGTGAAAGGACAAACCCTGTCGTGTCCCATGCTGAGCCTTGCTACTCAACATGCGTGCCAGAGCTGGCTGGAAATTAAATCACCAGGACCAGGCTCTTTAACAAAGTCTCCTGGAGAGTCATAGAACATTAAACTATGAGAAACAAAGCTGGGGTGGCAGTTCACGGCTGTACTAACTGCACTCAAAGGCCTGAGACCTTTCACACACCACCTCAAACCAAGCAAACAAAACAAAGCAAAACAAAAAAGAAAAGAAATACTGCCCAATAGGTCTAAAAATCTTACCTTTTGTGATTGCCAACTATTATGCCCCTCCCCAAACCTGAATCCCAGAAGATTAGAAATGCTTGTAAGTTTTCAACTGCAAAGGAAAATGATGGGATGCTAGCCCACTGCTCTTCTATTCCTTAAAACCTAAGTCTTACTGTGCAGAAACCCAAAGGAGCAACCGTCTGCTAACCCTAGGGACAGCAGACTGCTCCCCAGACTCCCCAACACCTTAAAACCTAGGATATGGATTTTTGATAAAATGAGATAATTGAAGTTCCTTCTTAAAAAATTTTATTTAGGGGCTGGAGAGATAGCTCAGCGGTTAAGAGCACTGACTGCTCTTGCAGAGGACCCAGGTTCGATTCCCAGCACCCACATGGCGGCTACGAACCATCCTTAACTCCAGTTCCAGGGGAAATCCAAAGCCCTCTTCTGACCTCCACGGCATTGCACGACATGGGTGCACTCACATACGTGCAGGCAATACACTCATATACACATAAAAAAAAATAATAATAAATCTTAAAAAAAAATTTTTTTAATGTGTATGAGTGTATTGCCTGCACGTGTATAAGTTCGTGTCGTGCAGTGCCCACGGAGGTCAAAAGAGGGCGTCAGATTCCCTGGAACAGGAGTTAAGGGCAGGTGTTAGCTGCCATTTGGGTACTGGGAATTGAACCTGGGTCCCCTGCAAGAGCAGCCAATGCTCTTAACTGCTGATCCATCTCTCCAGCCCGAAGTAAAGTTCTTAATTGAGTATTTAGGCACAAGAGGCACATGTGCATGCATGTGTCATGGGTATGCACATGTGCATGCATGTGTCATGGGTATGTCTGTCCATGTGGGTGGGCGTTGAGGTCAGAGGTTGACTTCAAGAAGTCTTCTTCAAGCTGGGTATGGTGGCGCATCCCTTAATACCAAGCACTTGGGAGGCAAAGGTAAGTGGATTTCTGTGAGTTTGAGGCCAGTCTGGTCCAGGTCACCTGGGGCTACAGGGAGACACTGTCTCAAAAAGACCAAAAAGAAAAAAACCTAAATAAATAAATAAATAAATAAATAAAATAAAATGTTGCTGGGCTTGGTGGTACAAGCCTATGATCCCAGCACTCAGGACGCAGGGGAATTGCCACATGTTCAAGTACAGACTAGGCTGTAAAGTGAGTTCTATGTCAGCAAAGGCTACAAAGCACCCTCCACACAGACAAATTTACCTTCAGCCTCATCCACCAGCCACTTTTCAAGTGCTCAGTCATCCCACGTGGCTGGAAGCTAGCACTCTGGCAGGACAGACACAGGCCATTTTCATTACTGTAGAAAGGACAGTCCTGGTAGAGGACCTCTGGAATGTGGCATGGCCACTTGAGGAATTTATTCTGCTTGGGCTGTAGGCTGACCAGAGGGGCTTGACAGAAGTAAAGATGCAAATGACTTTTGTTAATAGAGGGGAGAAAGGCTAATGATTTTCACCTTCTAAACAAAGCTCCCCGCAAGATAAAAGAAACACCCCCAATCAAAATAAAACACAAACAAACCGAAAATAAAGCTCCCCCAAAGGCCTTCTAGTACTTTTCTGTAAAGAACTCAGGAAAATATAGAAAAAGGCTCCAATGTAAAGAACTTCTTTCCTCTTTTTTGGTTCTTTTGGGGCTGGGAGTTGACTGCAGGGCCTTGTGTGCGGCAGGCAAACATTCTACCACTAAGCTACATTCCCTGTCCCCCTAATGTAAAGAATTACTAAACTAGTCTTTTTATCATCTTTTGTGTATTCATGTAAGATAGGCAGAACTTATCACACAGTAAAGCAGGCCGCCCTCATGGGGTGAGTGGGCAATGGCTAGAAAGATCTACATTTTTAGGTAGACTTTATATTATTTCTTAATGTTTTTAGAGTCTTTTTGCAATATTCTATCTCTAGTAATGATCAGAGATCAATCTTTGGGATGTACGAGTTAAGCATTAGTGACAGCAAACAAATGAGGAGAAAATGGTCAACAGTCACTGCAAGAGCAGGCTGCACCCTAGAGCCCCTCCCACATCTTAGAAGAAAGGCTCAGGATGTCAACCACACCTTCGAAGGAAGCATTTGCCTAGGCAAGAGAGGTCCACGTGTAGCTCAGCATACACTTGTGCAGTCCTGTCTGGGCATTTGCTCACACTAGTCCCCCACCTAAAATGCCTGGCAGTCTCTCTACTGTCTCATGTAGTAAGTTTTACTGAATGCCTGTCTGTGAGTGCTGGATGCTCTGAACACAAGAATGTCACAGATGATGGCATGGATGTATAGTCATTAAGATGGTCTGCTATTTAACTACATTTCTAAATAAAAAACAAGAGTCCTACTCAGTAAAATAGCTCAGTGGGTTAACGTCCTTGCCACCAAGGCTGACAACCTGAGTTTTAACCCAGGGACCCACATGGTAGAAGGAGAATACAGATTTCCACAACTTGTCCTTTGACCCCCAGTGATGCTCACAATAAAGAAAAAGGAAGGAAGGAGGGAAGAAAGAAAGGAAGGAGGGACACACACACGCCCCCACACCCCCCCACAAAACCAAGAGTTTGATCTTATACAGAAAAATAAATTCCAGATAGTTTTATATGTATGCAGATAAAACTACAGTGAATATATAAAGGGGTTGGGTGGAGTGGCACACCCCTTTAATCACAGCATTCAGAAGGCAGAGGCAGGCAGACCTCTGTGAGACCAAGGCCAGCCTAGTCTACATAGTAAGTTCCAGGCTAGGTGGTGTTACAGGGAGACCCTGTATCAAAAACAAACAAACAAAACCAAAACAACCACTCCTAAGCCCTGACTCCTGCTTATTAAACCCTGGGACCTTGGGCAGGTAGTTTCACCTCACTGAATCTCTCAACCCATAGCTGAGTAGAAACATCTTCCTTAAGCTATAACATCTTTTCCTAACCAGGGAGAAGAGAACACACTTACCTGATTCAGTCCTGGTCTGGATTACATCTCTCCACACTGTGAGATTACCACGGGCAATTTAGGCTTATTATTGGGGCCTGTGGGAACATTCTAGAAAACAGCACACACAAATATGAGATTCATGCACTTGCTCACTGCCTCACTGACCCTTTTCAGCTCCTATGCCAAGGACCCAAGACTCAGACTGATGTGATAGCATGTGTCCTGACAGACAGGTAAAACACCGCAGATCAAACAGAACATGTAAACCACTGAGAAGCTGGTGGACCTGCGACACATAACCATGTAGCAAGCTGTAAAAGAAGATGCATAAAGGACAGATGGACTCACAGAAGTGATGCTTACAGAGGGAAGGGCTCACAGCAGACGGGACATTGACCTGGGCCTAGAAGGGTAAGTAGGACCCCACAGGAGGAAAAGAAAACATTTCAGGCAGAGGAACCGGCCTGGCTTGGGACAGAGAAGGCTGTGTGACCTACTTAGAGAAGAGCTAGTAACCAGATATAACCAGAACAGAGGAGGAAGAGGCAGGAGCAGCCATGAGGAGCACCCAGAAAGCAGATCATGAAGGTCTGGAATGCAAAGTCAAGGAGTAATTTTATGGAGTACGCATCAGAGGCCAAAACTCAACATGTACTGCAGGTTAATGTATGGGGCCAAGAGAGCTCTACCCCCTTTCCTGAGGGAGCCTGCAACGGGACAGGGACAACTCAGTCTAGCAAACTGGAGCCTCTTCACCTTTCCCCAGCTCCTCACTAACAGGCAGATGTTACCTGACCAGGAAGAGGACACCCAGCAGGACATACCTCAATCTTCCTCATCACTAGAAGGCCATCAATGATTTTTCCTGCAGGAAGAACATGAGTTACGGCTTTACTCCAGGGGCTGGTACCATACTTTCCAGCTCCCAGGGCCCACTTTCAGCTACTGTCTCATCAAACTGTCTACTGACTTTAGGAAGCAGATACAGTAGGTGAAGTGACCTGCCCAAGGTCCCAGGTTTAATAAGCAGGGAGCTGGGGCTCAGGCGTGGATTTTTTTTTTTTTGAAAGACAGGGTCTCCTGTAGCTCGAGCTGGTCTGGAGCTCCCTATGTAGACCAGGCTGGAATCAATCTCATAGAGCTCCATCTGCCTCTGCCTCTTAAGTGCTGGGATTAAGTTGTGTCACTATGCCCAGCTGGCTCGGGCTCAGGTCCGAGTGATCCCAAGGCCCCACTGCTCCCCTGCTGCCCCCATGGCATTTCTTTAGCACTAGCATCTGGTTTCTCCCTGGAATACTCATTACCAGTGGTCACACACTGCAGGTTGCTCCTTGCTCTTCGCTCTGGTTCTCCAGCTACACATCTCCCTGACATCCTCCATCATACCCACCTACCCTATCCTGGAGCAGGGACACCAGCTGCGCACTCTTACTGAGAGTATAGGGACTCATCCCATGAAGGTCCAAGCTAGATGAATAGGACAATGAGATTGCAATGAGACTTACCAAAAACCACGTGCTTCCCATCCAGCCAATCACATTTGGAACATGTGATAAAGAACTGGCAGCCATTTGTGCTTGGACCACTGTTTGCCTGATAGGAAGCAAATATACTTGCAGTAAGTTCCCTGGTCATGTTAGGTAAGGTCAAGATTCCCCAAAAAAATCTACAGCTTTTTTTTTTTCCCCAGACTTTTTGAGACAGGGCTCCCTGTAGCCCCAGCTGGCCTGGAGCTCGATATACAGACCAGGCTGACCTTGAACTCTACCTCCCAAGTGCTGGGAGTAAAGGCGTGCCCCACCACACCAGGCCATACAGCTTTAACTGTAACTTAACTGAGCACTCATTATGAGCCAGGGCACAAACTAGGACACAAGGACATAGGGATGAACAGGACATAGAATCCCCACTCTAGAGCATGTGCATTTTTTAAAAAATATTTTATTGCCAGGCGTGGTGGCGCACGCCTTTAATCCCAGCACTTGGGAGGCAGAAGCAGGTGGATCTCTGTGAGTTCGAGGCCAGCCTGGTCTACATAGTGAGTTCCCAGGCCAGCTGGGACTACAGGAGGACCCTGTCTCAAAAAGACAAAAAAAAAATTTATTTATTATTTTTATTTTATGTGTATGCATGTACTGCCTGCATGTAGGTAAGTGCACCCGTGTCGTGCAATGCCTGCAGAGGACAGAAGAGACTGTTGGATCCCCTGGAACTGGAATCACAGACAGTTGTTAGCTGCCATGTGGGTGCTGGGATTTGAACCCGGGTCTTCTGCAAGAACAGTGTTCTTAACCGCTGAGCCACCTCTCCAATCCCCCAATGTACACTTTTTTTTCCTCCAGTGTGAGGTTTTGTAGGAGTCAGTTCTCTCCTTCTACGTGGATCCAAGGGATTAAACACAAGTCATCAGGCACCTTAGCAGCAAATACTTTTTACCTGATGAGCCACTTCTATGGCCCCAGTGTAAGGTTTTGTAATGGGATCAATTATTCATTTAAAATAACAAAAAATGAATTTACCAAAAAGACCAAAAAAAAAAAAAAAAGGCTGGGTGTGATGGCCCATGCCTTTAGTCCCAACACTTGGCAGAGGCAGGCAGATCTCTGTGAGTTCAAGGCCAGCCTGGTCTACAAAGTTAGTTCCGGGCCAGCTGGAGCTACAGGAAAAGTATGTATGAAATACTAGCAAAACATTTTTAAAGCCAGTGTCTAAAGTTGCCTCTAACCTGGGATTTCATATTGTACTTTGGGAGTCCCTTTGTTCCTTTTTTTTTAAACAGTGCTGGGAATCACAGTAGCACTGAGCTATATTCCCAGCCCTGGAAATCCCTTTGAAAGATAAGACTATTTTTGTCTATAAGAGGGAATAGATGGGCATTGTGGCTTACAGCTGTAATCTAACCCCTTAGGAGGCAGAAGCAAGAAGATGGAGGCAAACTGAGGCCAGTCTGGTCTACACAATGAATTTCAGGCCAGTCAGGGGTAAATAGTGAGATCATATCTTTAAAATAAAATAAATAGCTCACCCCCACAAGCTCTTGAGTTGCTTGTGAGCTCAGATCGGCTTCTCCGTAGCCTCAACCAGCATGCCATCATGGTCCCCACTGCCCTCCATCACTGCATAGAACAGGCCCGAGACCTCCTGCACCCTGCCTCAACTTCCAGTCCCATCCACTGCTGTCCAGTCAGCTTGATGCTATTCTCATTAGATAGAGGAGTTTGACAGCCAGATATAGATGCCTGGGAATTTCATAAAGGGATGAACACACTTGTTGGGTATGATCTGGTTCCCAAGCCCAAAATCATCGATGCTGTTTTGAGGGCATGCAGATGGTTAAATGATTTTGTTAGTGCTATTTGCATCCTAGAGGTTGTTAAGGACAATGCAGAACCTCATAATGAAATCTACCCCTATATCATCTGAGAACTCAGACCAACTTTAAATGAACTGGGAATCACCATTCCAGAGGAACTTGGTCTCAATAAACTATAAGCTCCTCTTGATTGGCTTCCTAAGGATTTATCACTGTTGCCACTTGATTAAAATAGTCACCTGGAAATGTTTTAAACAGGTGAGGTGGCACATGCCTTTAATCCCAGCCCTCGAGAGGCAAAGGCAGTCAGAAGTCTATGAGTTTGAGGCCAGCCTGGTCTACACAGTGACTTCCAGGCCAGTTGGGGCTACAGTAGGAGACCCTGCCTCAAAAAGACAAAAAACAAAAACAAAAAAACCCAAAAAACCTGGAAATGTTTTATTTGAAAAATTTTCTTTTGACTATCAAACCATGTAAACTGTAACTTAAACTTTAATAAAAGGGAAATGAATATGAACTGAAAAATTAAATAGTAAAAAGTTTATGGCAGCTGGGCGTGGTGGTGCACGCTCTTAATCCCAGCACTTGGGAGGCAGAGGCAGGCGGATCTCTGTGAGTTCAAGGCCAGCCTAGTCTACATAGTGAGTTCCAGGACAGCTGGAGCTACAGGGAGACCCTGCCTCAAAAAGAAAAAAAAAAAAGTTTATGGCTGACCTAGCCAGCCAGAGTAGACCCATGCTTAGAGCAGGGGAAGAATCCCAGAGCGTGCACTCCATTTATCTTATATAATAATCACTTGTCAGCAAACAGGCATAGTAATAGTCACACACTTTCATAGCTCAGGGATCCTCTGTGCCCTTAGACACTCATCTATTCTTTCTTCCTGATGGTATAGCTTATGTTTAGAGAATAAGCTCTGCAGTCAGACACAGCTTAAACCCTGGAATTCCAGGGACCATGTGACCTTAGTTTAGCGATCTAGCCAGCCTGTGCCCAGTTTCCTCATCAAAGGGATTTTTTTTTTTTTTTTTTTTTCTTTTTTAAGCCGGGGCTCCCTGTAGCCCCAGCTGTCCTGGAACTCACTATGTAGACCAGGCTGGCCTTGAACTCACAGAGATCCGCCTGCCTCTGCCTCCCAAGTGCTGGGACTACAGGCGTGCGCCACCACGCCCGGCTCAAAGGGATGTTTTAACAGCATTAAAGTGAATTAAGGTGCTTTAGGGCTGATCATTGTGGTAGCTCTTCTGTAGCTCCTCAGCATCTTTCCGTGACAGGCAGGAAGGCCTGGGGATCAAGACATTCGTCCCTGCCTTTAAAGTACTCACAGAGGGTAGAAGCAAAGACAGCTATGCTGCAGACATGGGACAGGCTGGCTCTGGTGGTGCAGGACTGCAATCCCAGCTACTCAAAGATGCTGGGGGCAAAAGGATCACAAGTTCAAGGCCTCCCTGAGCTACAGAATGAGTTCAAGGCCATCCTGAACAACTAAGTGAGACTCTGTCTCAAAATAAAAAAGTAAAAACTGGATGTGGTGGTACATATCTTTAATCCCAGCACTTGGGAGGCAGAGGTAGGTAGATCTCTGTGAGACAGAGGCTAGCCTGGTCATAGCGAGTTCCAGGCTAGCTGGGGCTATAAGGAGATCCTGTCTCAAAATGATCAAAAAATAAAAAAATAAAAAGAGGGCTGAGAGGCTAGTGAGATGGGTAAAGGTGCTTGCCCTACCAGTCAGGCAAGCTGAGTTTAATCCCCAGAACCCATGTAAGGTGGCAAAAGAGAACTGACTCCCAAAAGCTCCACATACATGCCCATGGCACACATACCCACACATCATATACCCACACCCATCCACACTGGCACTCTAAGATTAAAAAAGGGGGAGTTGGGACTATAGTTTACTGGTAGAACTTAGCACACACAAGGCCCTGAGTACAATCCCTAGTGCTGCAAAAACAAAACAAACAGCACAGTTGAGCCACTGTCAGCCTAGAATGGTTAGAACTTGGGTTTCCTTCCATTTCTAGATCCTCACAGAAGCTAGCCCATGCACAAACTAGGGTCCTAATCCTTAGAGCAAAGACTCGAGCTACCTAAGCTGTTTCTACACCTTGACCTATGCTTAGCTAGCCTGGCTTTCCTAAAAGAGAGCTTGCAAACCATAGGCTAAGTGAGTCTCACCCAATTATTAGGGAGCCTCCTTGATGGCATCCATAGCCTTTTTACATCCCCATGTGCCACTCACACTATAGCTGGGATCTTCACTCTATAAAGTACCAGACTGATCAGCCCTGCTCAGAAGAGAGCAATATTCCTCCCCAAAACCCATGAAAGCAAGCCCAGGTACATCACCCTTTTTCTATCCTTCTTTTCCAGGTGGTGCTAAGCCCACCTGCCCTTGCTTCCACTGACCATTTCCTTCCCCATATAATGTTCTCATCACCTCCATCACTTCCTGTTCCTTGAATATGCCACCTTGGTGTTGCATAGTTTTAGACTTTTGCAGAGCCTGTCTGCAGGACCTGAAATGCTCTTTCTTCCTACAGCATCTAGTACAGAACTCCTTTAGAACCCTCTGGGAAGGCTTCTCTAATCTCCAGCAGCAATCTTCATTTCCCCGGCTCCTGGAGGTCCTCTTATGTACACTGAGGTGCCCTCATTTATGGCACTGATGGAACCTGACTATATACACTGGACAGTCCCTTTGCATGTGCACTTCTTCTGTTAGGCGTTATGGGTCATAGTGGCAGGGATCATGTCTGTATCCCAGTGTTTTCCCATGAGGCCTGAAAGAGAGAGGATGAGCAGGACAGAGAATGTACATGTAAATACCGGGACTGGGGAAGTGAGTATTGAGGCATCAATTAAGGAAACTGGTGGTAAGGGGGTGGGAAGTGAGAGAGAAGGGAAAGGTGTGAGAGTGAGCAAGGAATGAGCAAAGGTGGGCTAGACAAAGTCATGAGGGGGCAGAGCTATCTGAATGGTGATCAGAAACGGGGAAGGGGTGCTAGGACCTGGGAGCATGAAGGCTGAGCATGAAGAGGTAAGGAGAAACGCAGGTGAATGGCCAGCACACAGCACGGTGCTGCAGTGAGTGAGCAGTGATACCAGAGCAACAAGGAGGTGAGCACCAGGGCTCAGAAACCCCCTGCCTGCATGCTGAGCAGCAGGCTAGATGCCCGAGCCATGCGTCCTGGCACAAACAAAGGTAACAATAAACAAAAGCCAGAGCTCAATTTTGGTTCTTAGTCTGCTTAGACCCTGCCCAACAAAATCAGCCCATACCAAGGAGCGGGTAGTGTTGGTGAGGCCTGGCCCAAGTGAGAGAAGCATCTGCTCTGATTTATAGAGACAGTTCTGGACTTCGACAAGGCATCAGAAACCAGCTAATTATTAATCTAACCCCAAGTCTTAATTGGACCTCACTTACCATGGAAAGCAGGCCTGGAGCTGAGTGTCTAAGTTTAAAGTTTTCATCTGCAAATGGCCCCCTGTAAATGCTGGCGACTCCAGTACCATCTCCCTGAGCAGAGAGAAGAGAAGTGTTAGCTTGGAATGCTAGGCACTCTGGAAACCAGAGGAAGAAAACTGTTGGGGCTTGGGAAATGGCTCAGTGGCTAAGAGTATCTGCTGTGGCTTGCTATGTTGCTATGCAAGCATGAGGACTGGAGTTCAAATCCCTACCACCCACACAAAAAAGGCATGGCTGTGCACGCACACATGCATGCATAGGCTTGTGTACCCACACCCTCACATGAATGCACCACACTCACATAGAACACTGTTGCACTTAAAGCCTAGCTTTCTTAAAGTCTACTCTTGCTCTCACTGGTCATCTTGGGAACAATATATCTTTCTATTCTGAAATCAAAAGACGAGTGTGGGACTGTGACTCATTGGTAAGAGAGCTTGCTAAACACTCAAGAGGTCCTGGGTTCAATGCCAACACTATAAAATAAATAAAGCAAGGCAACTGCAAGCCCACAGACTTTGGCCACAGCATCTTCTGGACAAAATAAGGGGTTAGAGAGATGGCTCAGTTGTTAAGAGCACTGGCTGCTCTTACAAAGGACCTGGGTTCCCAGCACCCACATGGCAACTAACAATTATTTGTAACTCCAGTTCCAGGGAATCCTATGCCCTCTTCTGACCTCCATGGCACTGCATGCATGTGGTGCACTTGCATACATGCAGGTAAAACATTCATACACATAAAAAATATTTAAAAAAATTTTATTTTATTATTTTTATTTTGTGTGTATGTGTATATTGCCTGCATGTAGGTACGTGCACCTGTGTCACGCCATACCCAAGGAGGTCAGAAGAGGCTGCTGGATCCCCTGGCACTGGAGTTATGGACAGTTGTTAGCTGCCATGTGGGAGCTGGGATTTGAACCCGGGTCTTCTGCAAGAACAGTGTTCTTAACCGCTGAGCCATCTCTCCAGCCCCTTGACTTCCTTTCTTGAAGTACAGCTATTATTTTTTTGTTTTAAAGTATTATTTATTTTGGGGGGTTCTGGAGAGATGGCCTAGAGGTTAAGAACACTGGTTGTTCTTGCAGAAGACCTGGGTTTGAATTCCAGCATCACATGGCAGCTAACAACTGTCTGTAACTCCAGTCCCAGGAGATCCAACAACCTCTTCAGTCCTCCGCGGGCACTGCGCGACACGCGTGCACTTACCTACAAGCGGGCAATACACACATACACATAAAATAAAAATAATAAAATTAAAAAGGAAAAAGAAAAAGGAAGTCAAGATGTGGGTATAGGAGGGAACAAGTACCTACTCAAGTGACCCACTCCACTAAACCATCTGTAGGGTGGGTGACTCTTCATAGTCTGGTATGTACAACATGATAATATCATTATCCTGGCCAGGTCTAAAATGTGTCAAAATCAGAAACCTTTTTGTGGTTGTTTCCTGTTGTTTGTTTTAATACAGGGTCTTGCCGGGCGTGGTGGCGCATGCCTTTAATCCCAGCACGTGGGAGACAGAGGCAGGCAGATCTCTGTGAGTTCCAGGCCTGTTGGGGCTACAGGGAGAACCTGTCTCAAAAAGACCAAAAACAAAGACAGGGTCTTAGTATATAGACCAGGTTGGCCTCAGATTCACAGGGATCCACCTGCCTCTGTCTCTTGAGTGCTGGGATTGAAGGTAAGTAGCACCATATTAGGCAAAATGAGAAACCTGAGTGTTCTGTCAGCACTCAGAAAGTTTCACAGTGAGAAAAAAAAGTTTCACACTGTGAAGGCTCTCTTGGAGAGGCCTCACCCCCACACACCCATGCTCTCAAGCATTTCTTACCTTTTCACTAAGTGCCCCTTTCCTTCTTTCAGCCCTTGTGATTAAAATCTATATTAAAAATGTTGCTGGACGTGGTGATGCAGGCCTTTAATCCTAACAATCGGGAGGCAGAGGCAGGTGATCTCTGAGTTTGAGGCCAGCTTGGTCTACAAAGCTAGCTCTAGGCCAGCTGGGGCTACAAAGAGACCCTGCCTCAAAAAAGACAAAATTCTTGTACCACAGAACTCATCAGACAAGCTACTACTTATCAGACAATTAATAACTCCACACACATAAATAAGTATGAAAGAGAAAAAACAAGTTCATCTCCATTTTCCCAGGAAACCTAGGGCAGATTAGTCACTATGCCAGTCTACCAGCATGCTATCGACTGCCTTTCAGAAGTCAGAACTGAGAAATAAAACTAATTTTTCAGTACAAACAGCAGAAAGCATCATCATTCTTCAGTCATGGTGGAATAATCCATAAATTATACATTCATAATGGAGTACAGAGCATGTTTTTAAAACAAGAGGAAGTGTTGGTAATTACTTAGTCCTGAAAATGAAAATCTATGAGGCTTAATTTGGGGTGTCGGCTTGAGATTTAGGGATGTCTAGAGACCTGGCAAAGCATCACTTTTGCATGTGTCCATGACGGTGTCTCTAGAGGCCATCTGCATGCAGATGGAAACGACTTACCTTGAGTCTGGGCAAACACTATCCAATTGGCTGGTGGCCTAGAAGGCAAACTCTGGTTCTTTCCTAAGTGGGACACATTCTCTTCATTGCTACCCTTGAACACCTGACTCCAGGTCCTTCAGTCTTTGGACTCTGGGTCTTATACCTAAGTACCCACAAAGAGTTTCCCGGCCTTCAGCCTTGTACTGGGGGCTGCAGTGTCAGCTTCCCTGGTTCTGAGGTTTCTGGCTTCTCTGGCTCTTCAGTGCAGAGAGCAATTATGGAATTTTCAGCCTGTGATTGTGTGAGGCACACACAGAACCTTCTGTTGGTTGTGTTTTTCTGAAGAATTCCGAGTAACAAAACATGAACACTCTTAAGTCTATTCAAAAGCATATGTATGTAGGCTAGCAAGATGGTGCAGCAGGTAAAGGCATTTATCGTCAAGCTTGACAGCCTGAGAGAGAGCCACCCCCCACCAAATGTTAAAAAAATAAAAAAGAAGAAAAAAGGTATATATAGAGAGGTGAGATGTTTCTTCGTTGTACTTTTGTATTCAGAATAAAATAACAAATACTATTAAAACAATTTTTTTTTAATTTACTTATTTTTATTTTATGTGTATGAGTGTTTTGCCTGCATGTACATAAGTGGGTGATGGATCCCCTGGAACTGGAGTTATAGATGGCTGTTAACCTCAGTGCTCTTAACCACTGAGCCATCTCTCCAGTCCCCAAAAAACAAATATTCTTGATCTAACTTCCAAAGATCTCAACCTTGCCTTTTCTGGCTCTTGCTCATTCTAGTTTATCTTCCCTAAGGAACACTAAGCAATTGCTTCTCAGTCATCCCCAAGACTGAGTGATGAGATATGTGTAAAAAAAAAAATCAGAAAGATACTAGTACTCTCCCTTTTAAATAATTCCATAACATAAGCGCCTACTGGAAGCCTGGTGTTATGGTATGTGCCTATAACCCTAGCACCAAGGAGGCTGAGACAGGCGATTGCTGAGAGAAAGGGGGGGTGGGTGGGGGTGGGGCATACACACAGAGAGGTAGGGACACACTACAGGAAGAGAGGAAACTGGCTTCTTACCAGTTAACCAGTTCTACTATCAAAAATGGTGGGCAATAGTTGAAAACTTAAATTCCTACAGGGCAAGTGACATAAATAAATGAAGAAGTGGGACTGGAGATATGGCTTAATGGTTCAGAGCACTGGTTACTCTTGCAGAGGACCCAGGTTCAATTCCCAGCACCTGGCACTAACATGGCATGTTACTAACAACCATCAGTAACTCCAGTTCCAGGGAATCCAAGGCCCTCTTCTGATCTCCAAGGACAGTGCATGACATGGGTACACTTACACACACACACGGCCATAACACTCACACATATAAATAAAAATAAATAAAAGAAGCAGGTGGTACAGACTGGTGAAATGGCAAGGGACCAGCTACCTGAGTCTAACCAATTGTCACTGAATTAGAATCAGGCCTTGCTAGGGCTGGAGAAATGGCTCAGTGGTTAAGAACACTGGTTGTTTCTGCAGAAGACCCAGGTTCGAATCCCAGCACCCACATGGCAGCTAACAACTGTCCGTAACTCCAGTCCCAGGGGATCCAACAGCCTTTTCTGACCTCTGTGGGCATTGCATGACATGGATGTTCTTACCTACATGCAGGCAATACAGACATACACATAAAATAAGAAAAAAAATAAAAGAAAAAAGAAATCAAGCCTTGCATACCCTCATTTTCCATTAAAAGAAATAAATTACCAAATTCAACATTGGCAGGGCATGGTGGTACATGCCTTTAGTCCCAGCACTTGGGAGGCAGAGGCATGCGGATTTCTGTAAGTTCTAGGCCAGCTAGGTCTACAGGGAGACCTTGTCTCAAAAAGACTGGAAAAAAAAAATAAATAAATAAATAAAGAAACAACGTGCAAAAGCAGGCCCAAGAGAGGAAAGTGGTTATTTACTGGGTATCCTCCAAGGCTAGGGAGGGAAGGATCATGGTTAGCAGTGAAGGAATACTCCCCTGGGCTCTCTCACCAAGTTCATAAACATTCCTTCAGAACCTCTCCTGATCTAACTCCTTGCCCACTAATGAGCTTTTGATGAAAAACTCAGCTTTCAAAAGAAAAATGGAAACCAAATTAAATAAAAATCTACTCAGTTTTGGAAAAAATGGGACATAACCAACCAGTTCATCTCCATTTAGAAAAAAAAAATATTTGCACCTAATTTCTAAGTCTCATGTGAACAACTAATTTGGATCTCTCTTGGATTATCTATAAGCATGCTAGGAAAGTCCAGTTTCTGTCCTCAAAGGTTAAAGTTTGGATGATGAAAGCTAATGATTCAATTTATGTGTTGATGACTAGTTTAATGGCACATCAGTGGTAGCCAGCAGTTCCAGGGAATGCCCATGACCACACTCTCTCCCCAAAACTTAGCTGTATTTTTTAAAAAAATTTATTATTTTTATTTTATGTGTACAAGTGTATTGCCTGCATGTATGTGAGTGCACCCGTGTCGTGCAATGCTGCGGAGGTCAGAAGAGGGCTTTGGATTCCCCTGGAACTTGAGTTAAGGATGGTTCGTAGCTGTCATGTGGGTGCTAGGAATCGAACCTGGGTCCTCTGCAAGAGCAGTCAGTGCTCTTAACTGCTGAGCCATCTCTCAAGTCCCTACATAGCTGTAGTCTTATGTCTCAAGACTGGGTCTCTGTAGTCAAAATAACAGTGGCAGCAACAACAACAAAAAGCAAACATACAGAACTTTGATGAAAAAAGCAGTACTTACGTTAACAAAATCTCCACCCTGAATCATGAAATCCTTTATGACCCTGAAACAGAGAGAAAACAAACAAAAAGTCCTTAGAAAAGACTCTGTGGTTTAGAAAAATATTGATGTAGTCACTGAAATATTAGATTAATACTGATTTCAAAATATAGTGTTTATGATTTTTGTTTATAGAATGACCAGTCTGAGTGAGCTGAGGGATTACTAACTATAAAAAGTTTTTAACTACAGGAGCACCTTAGAGTTGGTCTACAATGTATGACTTCACATCTGAACAAGAGGAAGAACTACCAAAGCAAGAAGAACTACCAAAATCTGAGAAGCGGACAACAGGGAATGAGTGTAAATGGACTGTTGCACATAGCGGCTCAGTAGCTGCGAGCTATTATCCCTGGCACAGTCCTTAGACTTCCATAACCTCAGTTCCCTTCTCTATCGAATGGAGAGAACATGTATTACCTCACACGAATGTTGAGAATTAGAGACCAAAGCTCTAAAGCCTTGATATGAGTGAGTTATGTGAAAGTTGTCAGCATTAAAAATGGAGCCACTTTTTTCAACCCTAATAACAAAAACATAATCAGAAATCCAGGAGGTTGTGAAGGTCATATTCCCACAGATGATTGTCTGGTAACAGCAGTTATCACAAAAACCTCTGCTAAAACCAAAACCTGGGGCCAGAGAGATAGTTCAGTGGGTAAAGTGCTTGCTGTACAAGCATGAGTACCTGAGTTTAGATCCCCAGCACACATGTAAAAGCTGGGTATGGCATCATGCAGAGAGAGAGGAGGATCCCGGGGGGCTTGCTGGTCAGCCAGTCTGAATACCAGGCTTTCTCAAAATAGTAACAGGGAAGAATAGAGAAGGTGGTGGATACTGACCTCCTGCTTCCACATGTGCACACACGGGAATATACCCCCTGACACTAACCATAACCTTTCACAAAGGCAATCATAATCTTACAAAAGTCTACCACAACCTACACAAAAATATATCTTCCTGCCAGGCATGGTAGCGCCTGTCTTTACTCTCAGCACTCGCTGTGAGATTGAGGCCAGCCTGGTCTACAGGAAGACCCTGTCTCAAAAAATACAAATCAGGGGCTAGAGAGATGGCTTAGCAGTTAAGAGTACTGGCTGCTCTTTTTTTTTAAAAAAACATAAACAAAAACAAAAAAACTGGTCTACATGGTGAGTTCCAGGACAGCTGGAGCTACAGGGAGACCCTGTCTCAAAAAATACAAATCAGGGGCTAGAGAGATGGCTTAGCAGTTAAGAGTACTGGCTGCTCTTTTTTTTTTAAAAAAACATAAACAAAAACAAAAAAACTGGTCTACATGGTGAGGTCCCAGACAGCTGGAGCTACAGGGAGACCCTGTCTCAAAAAATACAAATCAGGGGCTAGAGAGATGGCTTAGCAGTTAAGAGTACTGGCTGCTCTTTTTTTTTTAAAAAAACATAAACAAAAACAAAAAAACTGGTCTACATGGTGAGGTCCCAGACAGCTGGAGCTACAGGGAGACCCTGTCTCAAAAAATACAAATCAGGGGCTAGAGAGATGGCTTAGCAGTTAAGAGTACTGGCTGCTCTTTTTTTTTTAAAAAAACATAAACAAAAACAAAAAAACTGGTCTACATGGTGAGGTCCCAGACAGCTGGAGCTACAGGGAGACCCTGTCTCAAAAAATACAAATCAGGGGCTAGAGAGATGGCTTAGCAGTTAAGAGTACTGGCTGCTCTTTTTTTTTTAAAAAAACATAAACAAAAACAAAAAAACTGGTCTACATGGTGAGGTCCCAGACAGCTGGAGCTACAGGGAGACCCTGTCTCAAAAAATACAAATCAGGGGCTAGAGAGATGGCTTAGCAGTTAAGAGTACTGGCTGCTCTTTTTTTTTTAAAAAAACATAAACAAAAACAAAAAAACTGGTCTACATGGTGAGGTCCCAGACAGCTGGAGCTACAGGGAGACCCTGTCTCAAAAAATACAAATCAGGGGCTAGAGAGATGGCTTAGCAGTTAAGAGTACTGGCTGCTCTTTTTTTTTTAAAAAAACATAAACAAAAACAAAAAAACTGGTCTACATGGTGAGGTCCCAGACAGCTGGAGCTACAGGGAGACCCTGTCTCAAAAAGACCAAAAAAAATATTATTTTCTTATGTGTGTGAATTCACTGGCTGCATGTATATAAGTGCACCTGCGTCATGCAATGCCCATGGAGGTTAGAAGAGGGTGTTAGATCCCCTAGAACTGGAGTTATGCATAGTTGTTAGCTGCCATGGAGGTACTGGGACTCAAACCCAGGTCCTCTGCAAGAGCAGTCAGTGCTCTTAAATGCCGAGCCATCTCTCCAGCCCCAACTGGCTGTCCTTATAGAGGACTTGAGTTCGATTCCCAGCACTCACATGGTGGCTAACAACTGTCCATAACTCTCAGTTCCAGGGGATCTGATACCCTCTTCTGATCTCCATGGGCAGTGCAAGATAATAGCAAATATTTAAAAACAAACCAAAACCAACCTCTCTCTCTCTCTGAAGACATTTGCCCAGGAACAGTTTGTTCAGTTTCAAACTGGTAGCAATCATACCATCGATCCCTGTAGCTAAGGACTACTGTTTTAAGGTATCTTATGCCATCTTCTTCATGTCACTGGTCTTTTAAAACTTCTCTTGCCTCAGCTTCCTTGAACATAGTTGACTACAGCATACACATTCGTTTTGCAATGCTCTGTTCTTCCCAAGTACATATTGTTATTCTTTGGGGAATCTTATTTTATATTATGTATATGCATGTATTGCCTGGATGTAGTTAAGTGTACCCATGTCATGCAATGCCTGTGGAGGACAGAAGAGGCTGTAGGATCCCCTGGAACTGGAGTTACAGACAGTTGTTAGCTGCCATGTAGGTGCTGGGATTTGAACCTGGGTTCTGCAAGAACAACCAGTGTTCTTAACCACTGAGCCATCTCTCCAGCCCATTGTCTGGGGAATCTATGATGCTATTCATGTTGACAGTTACCTACGAACATCATTACTAATTACATAAAGCTATAAGGACAGATTTGATACTGAAATAAAACTGAGTATTGCTACACTGCACTTTCAGTGGTGCCTGGAAATGTGATTGTCTTAGAATAATGGCATCTGATTATTGTAGTTAGAAAGATAAATTATTTAAGAGCTACAACTGTATTTTTTAAAATCCTCATTCACACAGAAACACAAAGATGGGGTATTATAACATAAGGTCTTTCTGTTTAAAATACATTAAGTGAACTAGGGAGGGAGCACAAGTTAGAGTTAGAACATTTAATACATTGTTGAGTTCCTACAAACATTTCTTATGCAGCTGGAGAGATGGCTCAGTGGTCAAGAGCACTGGCTGCTCTGCAGAGGACCCAGGTTTGATTCACGGCACCCCCATGGCAGCTGACAGCTATCCTTAACTCCAGTTTCAGAGGATCTGATACCCTCTTCTGACCCCAGTAGGCACTGCATCACATGGGTGCACTCACATGCATGCATACAATACACCCGTACACATAAAATAATAATATTAAAAAACCAAAAATTTCTTATCACAATCTAACAATTAGCTTATTTATTTATTTTTTTTTAAGACAAGGTTTCCCTGTAGCTCCAGCCAGCCTGGAACTCCCTATGTAGACCAGGCTGGACTTGTACTCACAGAGATCCACCTTTCTCTGCCTCTGCAGGTATTAAAGCAGTGCGCCACCACCCCTCTTATTTTATCTCTTAAAAATGTATTTATAGCTGGGTGTGGTAGCGCACGCCTTTAATCCCAGCAGGTGGGAGGCAGAGGCAGGCAGATCTTTGTGAGTTCGAGGCCAGCCTGGTCTACATAGTGAGTTCCAGGACAGCTGGGGCTACACGGAGACCCTGTCTCAAAAAGACCAAAAAAAAAAAAAAAAAAAAAAAAGTATCTTTATGTGCATGAGAGTTCGGCTTGCATGAATCTAAGTGTACCACGTGATGCAATTCCTGCAGAGGCCAGAAGACAGTGTCAGATCTGCTGGAACTGGAGTTAAGGATGGTTGTTCATTACAGCACGGGTGCTGGGAACAGAACCTGGATACTCTGCAAGAGTAGTAAGTTCTCTCTCCAGCCTCTTTACTGTCTTTTAAGAAAGTCAAATCTGTCCATGTAGTAGAATCACCCCCACACTGCACAGGTTCAGCATCTTTGGACCTGACTTGTATCAAAAATATTCAGAAAAAAACTGGAACTGTACTGAATAGGCACAAACTTTATTTTCTGTGTCATTATTCCCACAATGCAGTATTACAAGTACTTATATAACATTTGTATTATATTACTATTCTAAGTAGTCTAGATAGGATTTATGGTGTACAGGAAGATGTACATAGGTTACATGTAATTTTTTTTTCATGGTACTGAGTACAGAACCCAGGGCTTCAGGCATATTGGGTAACTTCTTTACCAGCAAGCTAAGTCCTCAGCTCCAAATATGCCATTTTAAACGAGAGACTTAAGTTTCCACAGTTTCTGTGAGGACCTGGAACCAGTCTGCACAAATACCAAGTGATAACTGTATTTTTGGAGGTCCCTGGAACAGCTCACTAAGACTTACCTGTGGAAGGTGCTCCCTTTGTATCCTATTGGAACACCATCTTTTCTGTAACCAAAAAGAAAGAGACTTGGAATGATGATAATCACAAGTCTTTCAAGTGTAGGACACAATGGAGGCTAAAACGACTCTCCTAAAGATGGTTGAGAGAAGGGAGCTAAAGAAGGCGGATCAACTAAGGATGGGCCCTCTGGATAGCATCTATCACTCAAGACCTGCCCATGGTTCCCCAATACCCGCACTCTGCAGCCCCAGGAAACGCTTCAGGAGTAGGCAGAGAAGCCAAACACATTAAGACTGACCTGAATTCTCCAGTGCAGAACTGCCTAAAAGGAAAAAAGTAAAGGATTCAGTCACTGTAACATCACTGCTATGAGCACCTTTAATTGCAGGAGTGGGGTGGGGTGTGTCCATACAACGGAGTGGGCAAGTCCACCAACTAACTGGTCAAGATATACAGGCATACTGACTAACCAGACAAACTGACAGGAGGGCATGCAAATCTGGTAGCTACTCGGGCAATGCAATCCCCAGATCAATCAGACCTCAAAGCACCGGGCGGATGGACAGGGGCAGGCAGACATTCCGCAGACTGACCAGGGCCTGGCTTCCCGCTCTGCTACTCTGGCGCGGCTGGAGCATCCCCTTACCTAAAGTTCTCGGCTGTCTTCGGCACGACGTCTGCAAACAGCTCGATCTTCATGCGGCCCACTTCCTGCAAGCGATGGGGGAGCAGGCTGAGTGCACTGCGGTGCAGGGCTCCGGTGCAGGGCTCGCCGTCCAGGCCCCCCAACAGCTAGGGCGGGCAGGGTCCGCATGGCTCTTCCCCGCCCGCGGCTCCGAGCCCCGCCCGCCTGGGCTGCGAGGTCTGCCTGGCCAGTCCGCGCAGGCTCCCTCCACGCCTGGCCGCCGCATCTCACCTGACCGCCAATGCTGACATCAAAGAACACCACAGGGTTGACAGGACTTGAATTTGCCACCGCCATGGCTCTGACCTGGAAGTAGAGGTCAGACTTCCGGTGACTTAAGCCTGGCCTAGCGGATTCGTCTATGCGCAGGCGCAATGGAGGGCGCCTGCAGCTGGGCTCCGCCCCCGGAAGTGCGGCGTGAGTGACGCGGGAGCTGACGCACTAGTCCAGACATTTTCGCCAAGGTCCTTGTCACCCCGCTTGTTTAATTACTACAATACTCATGAGTCTCCGGGCGTTTGCACCAGGCAGTCTTAAGGGTACTTAACAGCCAGCACTTTCTTTCCTACGGAGGAACTACAGCTTTTTAAGTAACATTTGTGCGTATAAGGCATGCGGGGCTGTCCCTGTTAAAATACAGTGCCGCTATATTTGTACAAAGCTCTTAAATGCACAACCTGGCCACCACTGCCTGGCCTCATCCTCTTCCACCGTGCACGTAGCTATTACCTCTGCCCCTGTTTCTGGAGGTCGTTAGAGCGCCACATTCTTTAAGGCCTTGGTACTACTTGTTATATCTTTTCTCAAATATAATTTTGCCTTTTAAGAAAAAAATTAATTTGAGACAGTATGTGTATCGCACACTGGCTTTGACTCAGGATCTTTCTGCCTCAGCTTCTTCGGTGCTGAAGTTACTTAAATGAACTGCAATCCTTGCCCTAAATTTGTCCTGTTTGAATTTCAGTCTTTAGGTTTCTTTTTTGGTCTTTTTGAGACGAGTCTCCCTATAGCCCCAGCTGGCCTGGAATTCACTATGTAGACCAGGCTGGCCTTGAACTCAGAGATTCACCTGCCTCTGCTTTCCAAGTGCTGGGATTAAAGGCATGTACCACGACGCCTGGCTAGTTTTTAGTTTTTAATACAAGATTTGTATTGAGCCCGGTGGGAGGATGAGCAGTTCAAGGCCAGTCTGCAGCGACATAGCAGTTTCAGGCCAGCCCAAGCTTCGGGAGACCTGGTCTCAAAACACCGAAAACAAAACAAAAATAGGATTTTATATTTGCGCTTGTATTATAAGTCCCTTTAGGAACTTCTGCTCTTTGTTTTTTATTTTGGAGACCAGGTCTTCCTGTGTAGTTGAGGCTGCCTTGAAACTCACTGTCGGTCAGGTTGGTATTCTTCAGCCTCCAGAGTGTGAGCCACGTCTTCTGGCTTTCTTACAGATTTTAGTGGAGAAAGGGGCTGCTCTTTAACAGTTCAGAGCTCAGAGCAGATGCCACTTTTTCGGAGGCAGCCCTGAACCCAAGCAAAAATATCGTTTTGTTATTATCTTTTTCAATAACTCATTCCCTGCCACACATCCCTTCCTCCCAAACAGCATATAGATCCCATAAATCTTGTTCACAGAGATAACTGCAGTAGCTACTACTGACTAGCACACAGTGGATATTCAATAAATAGCTCTAGGGGCTGGCTAGATGGTTCAGTGGTTAAGAGCACTGGTTGTTCTTGCAGAAGACCCAGATTCAAATCCCAGCACCCACATGCCGACTAACAACCCTTTGTAACTCCAGTTCCAGAGAATCCGACACCCTATTCTGTCTTCCTTGGGCCCTGCACAACACAGGTGCACTTATACACATGCAGGCATAACACTTATACACATAAAATAAAAATAATAAAATAGGCATGGTGGCACATGCCTGTAGTCCCAGCATTTGGGAGGCAGAGGCAGGCGGATCACTGCGAGTTCAAGGCCAGCCTGGTAGTTCCAGGCCAGCTGGGGCTACAGGGAGACCCTTGTTCAAAAAAAAAAAAAGACCAAAAGAAGAAAAAAAAAAGGTTAAAAAATAATAAATAGATCTAGAGAATTGATAGTGGTGACCTTGAGCTGGGTTTAAGGTCAGAGCACACATTTGCTATTTTCTATAACCTTGATCATCCTGCTCTAGTTGTCTAAGGGTTACATAGAGCTATTCAGCATTTCTGTTTTGTTTTGAGATAGGGTCTCCCTGTAGCCCCAGCTGGCATGGATCTCTCTATGTAGACCATGGCCTTGGACTCACAGAGATCTGCCTGCCTCTGAGTACTGGCATTCAAGATGTGTAACACCTTGCCTGAACTGATTGATTGGGTTTTTGGAGACAGGGTCTCTCTATGAATCTCAGGCGGGCATGAAAGCTGTCTTGCAGGAGAGGAAGTCCTTAAATTCCTAAACTTCTTTGTTCCATCTCCCAGGTACTGAGATTATAGGTGTGTTCCAACACATCCAGATAAAAGATTTGCTTTAATGTGATTGTTTTATTTTTTTATTATTTTATTTTAAAAAATACTTTGTTTTGCTGGGCGTGGTGGCGCATGCCTTTAATCCCAGCACTTGGGAGGCAGAGGCAGGCAGATCTCTGTGAGTTCGAGGCCAGCCTGGTCTACATAGTGAGTTCCAGGTCAGCTGTATGTAAGTGCATCTGTTATGCAATATCTGCAGAGGTCAGAAGAGGGCATTGAATTCCCCTGGAGCTGGAGTTATGGAAGGTTGTTAGCTATCAAGTGGGTTCTGGGAATCGAACCCAGGTGCTCTGTAAGAGCAGATAGTGCTGTTAACCACTGAGTCATCTCTCCAGCCGCACATCTTTTACTTTAAAAAAATTTTATTTATTATTTTTATTTTATGTGTATGTGTGTATTGCCTGCATGTAGGTAAGTGTACCGTGTCATGCAATACCCTCGGAGGACAGAAGAGGCTGTCGTATCCCCTGGGACTGGAGTTAAGGACAGTTGTTAGCTGCCATGTGGGTGCTGGGATTCGAACCCAGGTCTTCTGTAAGAACAACCAGTGCTCTTAACTGCCGAGCCATCTCTCCAGCCCCTACTTTACTTTCATTGCTATTTTGTTGTTGGGACAGAGCCTCAATATATAGCCCTGGTTGGCCTCAAACTCATGGCAGTTCTCTTGCCTCAGCTTCCTGCTTGCTGGGATGTCAGGCATGAGTCCCCATACCATACCTGCCTGTGCTGGTTACTTTTAACTGTTAACTTGGCACAACCTACAATTATCTGGGAAGATTTTTTTTGGTCTTTTTGAGACAGGGTCTCCCTGTAGCCCCACCTGTACTGGAACTCATTATGTAGACCAGGCTGGCCTTGAAGTCACAGGGATCTGCCTGCCTCTGCTTCCCGAGTGCTGGGATTAAAGGCGTGGGCCACCATGCCCAGCCTATAAATATGACGGGTTTTTTTTTGTGTGTTTTTTGTGGGTTTTTTTTGGTCTTTTTGAGACAGGGTTTCTCTGTAGCCCCAGCTGGCCTGGAACTCACTATGTAGACCAGGCTGGCCTCAAACTCCAGAGATCCACCTGCCTCTGCCTCCCGAGTGCTGGGATTAAAAGTGCGCCACCACGCCCAGCATCTTTTACTTTTAAATAATCATGAGATACTGCTGAGTTTGGTGGCTCAAGCCTATAATACCAGCTCTGAGGATGTTGAGGCAGGAAGACCTTTGGAACTTCAAAGCTAGCCTGGGCTACAGAATGGGACTCTGTCACAAAAGCAAAAGCAGAATAATAATGAAATATACAGAAATTCCCATTATATGGAAAAGAATCCTGAATTACCCATACATGTGCTCTGCTGAAGAGAAAACCAATTACTGAAATTTAGTCACTAGACTGATCAATACAAAGTATTTGAGGCAACTCTTGAGAAATTCACAGTTTTTTTTAAGCGTGTCTTTTCTTCTTGAACACCTTTCTCTTAACTCCACTGCTTTAAATCTATATTAAGAATCTCTCAGCTGGGTGTGGTGGCAGATGCCTTTAATCCCAGCACTTGGGAGGCAGAGGCAGGTGGATCTTTGTGAGTTCAAGGCCAGGTTGGTTTACATAGTGAGTTCCAGGCCAGCTGGGGCTTCAGGGAGACCCTGTCTCAAAAAGACAAAAAAAACAAAACAAAACAAAAAACAAAAAAAAACTCTCAATAAACTCCAATTCTGCTTTAAAAGAGATATTTGAGCATATGAAATGAGAAATCAATTTTTAGAAACTGTTTAATGAGTTTATCTGCAACCTTGAAGACCCCTCCTTGTTGTCCAGTACCCCACCCATGTCCATGTCGGAGTTAGTAGGTTGGTCACTACAGTTTTAGACACAGTGGTTTCAGAGCTCTGGCCTTTGGTCTTCTTGTATGTTGTGTGTCTCTGTCAGGGAATTCACATGTATATATCCACATTCTGAATTCTGTGAACATGAAAGAGATTCAGGGGACTTGGGGATTGCTGTTGCTCCTGCTCCATGTAGCTCAGTCTCTTGAAGAGTTTCAACAGATTCTACCAAACCTGTTCCTGAGAAACTGAGAAAAGTCATGTGTGAGGACACCATACAGACAGAATGGCTGGAAAAAGTTTGCAGTTACAGGGATACGGCTTCAATAGGATTCATCATTTTACAACTTAAGATAAAAGCAAACAACAAAATTAGGGTTACCTTCGAGCTGCGCTCATGAATTACCCCTCCCTGAAATCAGGAGTCTGTAGGGCAGGAGGGGAAGGGGGCAGCATGGAGAACAGTGATTGGGATCAGACTCAAACTCCAAAGGCTCTGTTTTCTCAAGCTGGCCACGCAGAAAGAGCCCACAGCCTTCTCAGGCACGCAGACAGCTGACTGTCCTGATGTTACTCACCTGGAGTTTTGTAAAGGGATCATCTTTTTTAACATCTCCAATGTAGCACTGTTGTTAATTGTTGTTTCCTGAAAGGAAGAAAGAATATTAAATTTTCATACTGATAAACCATTGGCAATGTAATACCAGAATTTATAGTACATAGAGATAGATAATTTATATACCTGCAAACAATAAAACATACCATAAACCACAAAAGCCCTAAAAAGGGCACAGAATGAAACATTGCTTGCCCCTTACCCTGCGAGTACCTCAGCCCAGCTCTCTCCTGTCTTTCTCCTCACTCCTCCTCTCACCCCTCTCCCGTCCCCTTGTCCGTCCTTTCTCCCCCGCCCCCCCGCCACCGCTTGTCTTGTTTCTCTCTATAAAATCTATATATCTATTGCCGAGGAGCAAAGGCAGAGGTGTGTGCATGCTAGGCAAGCTCTCTACAGCCCGAACAATACCCGCAGCCCAAAGCTGCTGCTTTTTTTTTCTTTTTTGAATGGGCTGGAAGTATTGGAGATTAGGCCAGAGCCTTGAGCACAGTGAGCAAGCATTCTACGGCTGAGCCGTTTCCTGGACTTCCTTCTTTTCCCCCTCATTACTTGATTACTCAATCAACTAATTGTGTGTGTGTGCGTGCGTGTGTGTGTGTGTGTGTGTGTGTGTGTGCATACGTGTTCCACAGTGCTCATGCATGCCAGAGTGTGCATGTGGAGGTCAGGGGACAACTTTATGGAGTTGAGTCTCTTCTTCCACATCTCTCTGGGATCTTGGGATCAAACCACAGGTGGCAGTGGACACCCACTGAGCCATCTCATAGACCCCACTGCCATCGTTTCTAATAACTCTTTGGTAATGTTCTGTAAGGGACGAAATCCCCAATAAGGAAACATGGTCATGGGGAAATTAATGAAGATCCACGCTTTCTGATTCTTCTTGGTCTGGTAGGAAGGCCTATTTTTCACTCCAACAGGGTACACTTCAACTGACCTGCTTAGAGAAGGGTAGCCCTAGACATATCTAAATATGGAGGGGTGACCTATCAGCCTTCTCTTCGTTTAAGTTGATCAATCCAAAATTGGGAGGAGGAGAAACCACTAAAGTCCTTAAAACCTCGATTGTCCTGCAGACACAGTATTTCAGGTTCCAGTTCACTTTCCACTTGTGGAGAGCTTCATCTGTGTGTGTGTGCATGTGTGTGTGTCTGTGTGTGTGCATGTGTGTCTGTGTGTGTGTATATGTGTGACTGTGTGTGTGTGCCTGTGTGAGTGTGTGTGTGTGCGTGTGTGTGTGCATGTGTGTCTGTGTGTGTATATGTGTGACTGTGTGTGCTTTCTTTCTAACAGTTTTAGAGTTTCAGGGTTTTTTTTTTTTTCTTTTTGAGACAAGGTCTCCATGGAGCCTCAGCTGTCCTGGAACTCACTATGTAGACCAGGCTGGCCTTGAACTCACAGAGATCTGCCTGCCTTTGCCTCCCAAGTGCTGGGATTAAAGGCGTGCACCACCACGCCTTTATTATTTTTATGTGTATGAGTGTAATGCCTGCACTGAGCCATCTCTCCAGCCCTCTGTATTATTTTATTACCTACAATAGAGTTTTTGGTTGAGTATTTATGGTTTTCTGCATGCAAGATCATATCACCAGCAAACAGTGACACTTTTACTACTTCCTTTCCTAGTTGGAAGATTTTCATGTCTTTCTCTTGCCAAACTGCTCTGACAAGGACTTCCAGCATTATACTGAATAGAAATGATTAGAGTGGGCGTGCTTGTCTTGATCTTGATCTTAAAAGCTTTAAACTTCTTTTTTTCCACTGGTTTGTATTTTAACAGCTTTACATGTAATATTCACATATAAAAACTTTAAGTGCTTTTCTCCAATTAAAAAATCTAAAGAATTCAAAAATAAGGCATGCAATATTTGAAAAAAGTACAGATTTACAAAATGTATATATTCTGTCATGAAAACTCCACACCAACATTATACACTTGGAAAAAAATACAAACAGGATATATTACAAATTTATACAGCAATAACTTAGTTCACACCATGCAATAAAAAGTACATTAACTAAGATACATGAGCTTCATAGGTTCTAAACTGAAGGACTTTTGCTCTTTTCTCTGCAGAATCCTTAAAACCTGTGGCACCTAAGATGTGTTAGCCTTTCTACTGGGAGCTGATTCTGCACGATGATGAGGTGTCCATTATGAGTCATTCCAGCTTTGCTCCACGATGGCTGAAACTCTTCTCATACTCTCATTTGTTCTGATAAAGCTGTGCCACCTGGCTATTGGCTGGACTGTTTGGATTTGGTTCATCTATCAGTGACTGAATTGAAGTTAGGATAGAAGATACATCGAATGTTGGGCTCCATCGTTCTGAAGGATATCTAAACATATGCTACCATCAGCATACACTGGGATGAAACATTTTGGATAAAAACCTTACAGTTGGTGGTTTATTTGGATATTCTTCAGAAAATTCTATGGCTAGTTTAAAAGTACCATCTTCAAAGGGTGTCCCTTCTGGTCCAAATATAACTGCATTCCACTGCATGATGTTGTTTTCAGATGGTGCACCACTGACCCCCACAGGTGGGTCCTCTTGCAATCACTTGAAATCCCTCATAAGCCCCCTCCAGGCCAGGGTCTACATGCTCCACTGCTGCCCTGTGGTCAGCTTGAGAGAAAAGAGTGTCGTAGTCGTCGTGGTGTCGTCGTCATCGTGTGTGTGTGTGTGTGTGTGTGTGTGTGTGGTCCCGTCCCCATCCGTGTCATCCCCCCTGTCCCCCGTGTCATGGTCCCCATCCATGTCGTGTCCCCCACCCCCACCCCCAGGGTTGCGGTGGCCGCTGATGCTGCACAAACAACCCTGCTAAAAGCTTTAAACTTTTTACTTTTAAGTTCAATGTTAGCTGTGGGTTTGTCATACATAACCTTTATTATGTTGAGATATGTTCTTATACACCTTCTGACTTTAAAAATCAAATTGCCTTTGAGTCATTTCTGTGTCTGTAAGTGACCCCCTCACCCCTATTCCTGTAAGCAAACCCAGTAAACACTCTGGTTCCTCAACTTGGACTTTGGTCGTGTCTTTACTCTGTTTTATTGTTGATCACTAAAGGAAGTGAGTAGATGTCTGTTCACATCTCCCCAGGAGCAGTTTCACACAAGGAAAAAGATCAACCATTCAGAGAGAGTGATAATGAAACAGAAATCTTACTGGGCTGGAGTTAGGAACTCTAGGCTTGAATTAGGGTCTCTCAGTTACAATGTGGCATGTCCCTTTACCTGAATTTGAGTTCCCATATCTCAAATGTGAGAATACCAGTTAACATCTAATTTTTCATGGTTGATGTGAAATTAAATAATACAAACAAATATATAGGAAGAACTCAATAAATAGTATAAGAACAAGTAACTAAAACAAAAGAAAAAGAAAATAAAGAGCAAGTAACTATATATGCATGGTGAGGAAGAAGCCACATCACTGAATGCCTAAACCAGCAAGGAGCATTCTGGATAACTTATATGCATTATTCCACTTCATCTTCAACAATGATATTTCTAGGGTGGAAGAGTTGAGATGGTATTTTGATATGCTGCCCAGGCTGGCCTCGAACCCATTATTCTCCTTACCTCAGCCTTTCAAGTTCTGTGATTATAGATATGTGCATACTCCCAGTGTCCAGTAACCCTCTTCTTAAAATTTTCTTTGTTTTTGTAATTATTTTATAATTATTTTTGTGATTATTTTTGTAATTAATCACATATCATCTTACCCATTTAAATGATCTAATTGGGGCGAGGCACTGTGACATATGGGTTACATGATGAGAGAAGAGAGGAAGGAGGGAGAAAGGGTTAGAATGGAAAGAAAAAGAGAAAGGGAGAAGGGAAGGAAAGGAAAAGAAATAGAAAGTTTAAGAAAAGAAAAAAGCAGGATGGAGAGATGGCTCTGCAATTAAGAGCATTTATTGCTCTTGCAGTGGACCCAGGGTTAGTTCCTAGCATTCACATTGGGCTCTCAACCATCTGTTATGCCACCTCCAAGGGACCTGACTCTTCTGGACTCTGTGGGAACCTGCACAGACAGAGAGACACCCACACCCACACCCACACACAATTAAAAAATAATAAAAACAGTAGCAGGGCATGGTGGTGCATACTTTTAATCCCAGCATTTGGGAGGCAGAGGCCAGCCTGGTCTACATAGCCAGTTCCAGGCCAGCTAGGGCTACAGGGAGACCCTGCCTCAAAAAAACCAAAAATAAATAAAAATAAATCTTATAGAAAAGAAAAAAGAGAAAGCAAAAGAAAAATGAGAAAGGAAAGGAAAAGGAAGGGAGGGCAAAAGAAATGAAAAAGGTAAAGCACAGCTAAGTACAAAGCAGCATCAGGGGCCTCCAGGAAGAAGCCTAAAAGATGGCACTGTTGTCTTAGGAGGTGATGGCTTCTTATAAACTGCTGCCCCTGAAGACCTTCCAGTATGGTCCTGGTCTGTAAAGGCCTAGGATAATCTGAATGCTTATCAGTTTTTAACAAAATAGTTTAAAATGTGGCAGGGGGGGATGTAAAATAAGATTATATATATATATTTTTTTTATATAAATAAAGATTTTATACACACACACACAAACACACACACACACACACACACACACACACACACACACATGGCTTAGGGGTATAGTAGGCTGTACCATCAAGGTTTGGGTAAATACACTCCATGATGAAAATTGCTTAATGACGCAGTCTTGGAACATCTCTGTTAATGAATGATGCATGATTGCACTATGAGATCATGCAGCATTTCAAGAAGATAATTTGTCTAGTGGCATGTAAAGGACAGATTAGAAAGGAAGGAAAGCCTCAGAGGAGATGAGTCAAGAGTTTCAGTCATCCAGGTGCTACATGGGATATAGTGGGTAAAAAGAACCTGGAGTCTTCCTGCATGGGGTTTATAATCCAACAGAGAAGAAAAATGGAATTGCAATACGGAAAGCCATATGGTCCACAAAGCTGCATCCCTGGTTCCTACAATGCCTTTAAAAGGATGCCTAAAAGGGAAAGAGTAAGTGTACTAGGAATGCTATGGTTTGAACATGGCCTTAGAACTATGGTCTTCCATAGTTCTCCATACATCCCTCCATATGTCAGATGGAAGCTTGGTCCCAGAGTGGCAATGTTGGGAGGTGGAACTTTTTTTTTTTTTGGTGTTTTTGAGAGAGGGCCTCCCAGTAGCCCCAGCTGACCTGGAACTCACTATGTAGACCAGGCTGGCCTTGAACTCACAGAGATCTGCCTGTCTCTGCCTCCCAAGTGTTGGGACTAAAGGCGTGTGCCACCATGCTTGGTGGAACTTTTAAGAGGCAGGGCATAGTGGGTGGTTCTTGGATCAATTAGGGATGTGCTCTCAGAAGGGACTGTAGGCCCCTAGTCTGTTTTCCCAGCTTATATTGTCTCTCACCCTCACAGATGCTCCCACCATGATGCCCTTTGATGGGAGGCACTGACCAGAGGCCAAATGCATGAGGTTGGCAGCCTCCCAAAACTGCTAGCTGAAAGTATTCCTTCTCTTTGTATGTAGCCTGCCCCAGGCATTTCACTGTGGTGATGAAAACCAGACCAATACAATGAGGTAATGGCTAAGAATAAGGGCCCTGGGACTGGAGAGATGGCTCAGAGGTTAAGAGCGCTGGCTGCTCTTACAGAGGACCTGGGTTCGATTCCCAGCACCCACATGGTGGCTAAGAACCACCTGTAACTCCAGTTGTAGAGGAACCCAATGCCCTCTTCTGACCTCCTCAGGCATTGCATGGCACAGATGCACTTATACACATGCAGGAAATACACTCATACACATAAAATTAAAAAAATAATAAAATATTAAGTAAAAAATAAAAGAATAAGGTTCTTGAGAATTGGATTCCATTTTTCCTCTTTTTTTAAAAAATTATCTTTTTGAGACAGGGTCTCCCTATAACCTGGAACTCTCTTTGTAGACCAGGCTGGCCTCGAACTCACAGAGATCCACCTGCCTCTGCCTCCCTGAGTGCTGGGATTAAAGGCGTGTGCCACCACACCCGGCTTCATTCTTCCTCTTCTTGTCACTTTTTTTTTTTGTCTTTTTGAGACAGGGTCTCCCTGTAGCCCCAGCTGGCCTGGAACTCTGTATGTAGACCAGGCTGGCCTTAAACTCACAGAGATCCACCTGCTTCTTCCTCCCGAGTGCTGGGATCAACATATGTAGTCCTGTCTGGTCTGGAACTCATTATATAGACTAGGTTGGCCTCAAATTCATAGAGATCTGCTTGCCTCTGCCTCACAAGTTACGAGTATTAAAGGCATGCACCATCACATTCAGCTTTTTTGTTTGTGTGTTTTGTTTTGTTTTGAGACAGGGTCTTCTGTAGCCCAGGCTGATTTCAAACTAATATATAGCTGAGTGTGTCCTTGAACTGAGCTGAAGATGATCTTCTGTCTCCACTCTCCACCCCAAGTTTCGGATACTAAACTTATGCCACCATGCTCAGTTTATGCAGCGCTAGGGATTGGACCCATTGGGCTTTGCACATGCTAGGCAAGCATTTTACCAAGGAGCTGCATCCTCAGTACCCTGTGTCTTAATTTTTTTTATTACAGTCCTTGCCACAGCATGTATGTGGAGGTCAGAAGATAACTCGTGGGAGGTGATGTTCTCTCTCAAACATGTATGAACTCAAGTCTTCAAGCTTGACAGGAAGTACCTTTACCTGCTAAGCCTGAAAATAAGGTTACTTTTATTGGGGAGATAAAAGTACATAGAGTTCAAGACCAACAAGGCTACCTGAGACCTTATTATTTATTCATTCATTTATTTAAAATCTTTTTGAGCGTGTATTAATTTTTTTTATTACAGTCCTTGCCACAGCATGTATGTGGAGGTCAGAAAATAACTCGTGGGAGGTGATGTTCTCTCTCAAACATGTATGAATTCAAGTCTTCAAGCTTGACAGGAAGTACCTTTACCTGCTAATT